CAATTTCTTCCAAGGAGACTGCGACAGTCTTTGAGAGCTGTTGCACCGTCGTTCTTCCACAAATTCAAGCCCAAGTGGACAAACTCAACAATGACATTCGACTGGGTGAGATTTACCTATTGGTTTTTATCAACCAAGCACGACTTTATGCATTAGGACTTCCATAGGTTGTGTTGTTTACAAAACAGAAATTCACTAATTTGATATCATTGAATGCATGACTCCTCAATACATTCGCTTTAGCTTAGCATTCATACCTTTGGTAAATCTAGAAGTCGGTGAAAAAATATGTGCTACTCTTTACATAGTGTCAAAAATTCAACCCTATATAAGCATTCATTATTACTGCCTGCATACATCCAGACCATCAAACTACAACGTCCTTCTGTGGTATGTCAGCGCAGGGAAGAAGGTATAGCAAAACGGCCCTTTGCCGTGTCACAATGTGGTCTAGTTTCATGGTTATGGAAAACTCCCTATTTTCGGTTATCGTAATAATAAATAGCTTTGGCTTGTGTCATCTGAGGAATCAGGCGAATCCAACAGAGTATAGTGAACATTACGGTAGTTGGCGTTAGTCATTCTTTACTCACAATTTCGAAAATTCGATCAAAACTTGGCTTTTCGAGTGGTAGTTTAGTGTTACAACTAGTTTCATGTTCTACTGGCTGTCCCAGCGATCCAACATTGTTTCAATTTTTCGGATGAATCTGCACGAAAGTTTGTTTGTGTTAACAGGCATGCGTCTTGTTTCTTGAGTGCATTTGCATTGTGTGAAATGACTTAAAGATAGCCACAGTAACTATTTTTCTACAAAAATACTTCCTGAATTGGTAAATACTTTGTTGCTTCTAAAGTACGCTAGGGAGGAAGTGAATATGAGATTATTTTTACACTAAATCTTCCCGCTATGTTGCAAATAAAATCAAAAAATAGAATTCCTTTTCTGTACCTCGTGAGGTTGGGTTCGTGAAAGAACCACAGGATATTGAGTTATGTGAAGATTAGGCATTGGAAGCCTATGGTGTTTGTCATTCTAGGCCTGGATACCTGGAAGCCATCGGAGAACTTCGATCTCACTGCTGTACGTTCAGGTGAAGAGGAATTGAACGTATTCGAGATGATGATGACCCCAAGAGTAAACGAGCTGCAGCGGATCATAGCAGGTCAGGCGCTATTGCAAACTGGAAGTCACCTTTCAACGAATTCGCCCTTCATCGCTGCCACATCCGCTGTTGTCACCTGGGTGTCATCCACCGCTATGGCCACCGAAAACCCAAGAGAGCAAATAGCGTCTGTGTTGTGTGCCTCTTTGGTCTCAGCTTATCGGTATTTTGCTGCATCTACCGCCGCCGCCGCTGCTTCCTCCTCACCACTTCAATTCGACGCTCTCACTGAGGACAGCGCCATCAGTCTAGCTCCCACTTGTCCCAATACCCCAGCTCCACCTCAGCATTCCTTCAGAAAGAACTTCTTTGCCAAGTAAGTCCTCGTAAACAAAATCTTTTTATAATTTTCAAGCAAACGTTAATGGTGCGGTTGTCGGTTTCAAAATACTTCCACCTCCATTGTATTTAAACAAGATTTATGGTA